AATACTCTGATTTTTACTTGACTTCGGATGTTCTTCTTTTAACAGATATCTTTGAAAATTTCAGAGATTTGTGCTTAAAAACGTACAAGCTTGATCCAGCTCACTATTTTACAGCCCCCGGTTTGAGTTGGGATGCGATGCTACGATACAGCAAAGTAGAGTTACAGCTGCTTACAGATGTTGATATGATTCATTTTTTAAAAAGGGAATTCGGGGGGGAGTCAGTACATGTACCTCACGTAAAGTTGAGGCGAACAATAAATTTCTACCACATTACGATCCGTCAAAGGCATCATCGTATTTAGTTTACCTTGATGCAACAAATTTGTACGGTTATACGATGCAACAGTACCTACCAACTGGTAATTTTGCATGGTTAACACGAGATGAGATGGATAGGATTCAAGAGACAATTACACAGATTTCGGATACATCGGATATTGGGTATGCATTAGAAGTCGATTTAACCATACCGACTGAGCTACATGATTATTTCAACGATTTACCATTTTGTCCAGAAAATTTTAAACCACCCGACAGTCAAAGCTCAAAATTAATTCCAAATTTGCACAACAAAGAACGCTACATTATCCATTATCGTAATCTAAAGCAATGTTTGAAACATGGTATTATTTTAACAAAAATTCATAGAGGCATTAAATTCACACAATCTGCCTGGTTGAAGTCCTACATACAGTTAAACACCACACTTAGAAATGCAGCACTGAATCCTTTTGAAAGAGATTTGTTCAAACTAATGATCAATTGTATTTTTGGAAAAACCATTGAAAACATGGAGAACAGAGTCGACATCAAATTAGCTACTCAATTTGAAAAATCTAAACATAAAATAGGTGCTGCAAATTATATTAGTAAACCAACTTTTAAAGAGCACAGAATATTTTCTGAAAACTTAGTAGCCATAATATGAGCTTATAGTACTGTGTACTCTGCTCATCTCAATTATCATAATAATAATAATAATTCAAATGGAAAAAACAATGATTGATTATTGTCGTCCCACATATGTTGGCTTTTGTATTTTAGATGTCTCAAAAACGGTAATATATGACTTTTTCTATGACTTTCTGAAGCGTCAATATGGTGATAAGGTGTCTGTAGCTTACACGGACACTGATTCGCTAATCGTACATGTTGAAACCGATAATTTCTATGAGGACATGAAATCACACATACATTACTTTGACACATCCAATTATGATGCTTCCAACCCACATAACATGCCTCAAACAGCGTCAGAGTTGGGTAAGATGAAAGACGAATATGCTGGTAAGATACTGTCTGCATTTTATGGTACAGGTCCCAAAGCATACTGTATAGATGCGGTAGACCAAGTAGCTAAACGAGCCAAAGGTGAGTGTAAAAAATCAGTTACATTTGCTACATTATAAGGATATTGTTGAGAAGAAACGGACATCTGTATACTGTACGATTTATGTATTTAAGTCGGAGTCGCACAATATCTACACAAATTATATAAAAAAAGTAGCATTGACCAGTACGGATGATAAACGTTTCTTGATACCAAACTCAACAAAGACATTAGCTTGGGGTCATCAAGATATATTATTTCATAACATGTCACATGAGGAGCGCTTGGATACATTACTGCACTTGATGCAAGAAGCCATTGTGTTGAATAATAAGCATCAGATAGCATGATCATAGAATAGGGGTTTGTGGTGGGGACAAGAATATAAATATATTCTTAACAAACGCACCTCATTCAGTTTCAAAGATGAGTACTACGACATACTATTCACTGTACTTGCAATTGTGTCATGTAACTGAAGAGGTGTTGAAAAAACAGCTTCGACAATTTGTGACTCGAAATCCAGAAAAACAAGAATTTCCAGTGCTGGACTTTGTGCTAGTGGAAATTACAATACCTGACGAAGTATTCAATTGGATTACCAATGCCCACAGTTGCCATCCCCACGTGCTTTCCAGTGTAATAACAAAAAAGAAACATCTAGATTGGGTGGTACAGGAAACACTGCAAAGTTTAAAAGAGAGAGATTATGAGGTTTTAAGCATCAAAGAATTTGGAGACCTACTGGATAATATGCCCTACACACCATCAGCATATGAACAATATTATTTATGTAAGTTGTTATCTGATAGTAACTATGAAGATGTAGATAAACCGCATCCTGTAGAAAATATTACGAAGAGGTATAAAGACATTGTATCACATATCGATGAAAGCATCTGTAAAATCGCATATCTAGCTGATTGTGTATCACTAGAACGTTTAATCGATATTATACAGCAGCATGATATTAAATTTGTATTTGATGTAGAAAATAAGATGAGACATTATACTGTATTGAAATGGATAAAGAAAAATATAGCCAAGGGTAACATTGGAGATGAAACCCTCGGATGGACCTCTGGACCCTGTAGTGTGAAATGGCCATCCACCAAATTCGAAGATTATGTAGCATGTTTAAAGATCTTGTGTGATTTATCCAAAACGTAAATACTCTGTGTGTGACAAAATTCATTAATATATATATCTATGTCAGCATGAACGGTAGTATCATTTTCCCTTGCACTTGCGTCAACTTTTGGGAGGGGGAAGTTGGTGAATGGAGGGGTGATCAACACTGTATAAAGTTAGCCACGAAGCTTCATATACCAGTCTTCTGAATTTCACATAACGTTACAACATGAGTGCCGGTGTGCAAAACGACAAGGAGGTACGATCTGTACAAAGTGGGGTAGATCAGACACCGTTAATTGTCATCCAGGAGCAACGATATCATCTAAATCCATCGAAATCAAAATGGATAAGCATTGGTCGAGCATATGAGTGGAGCTTCCACCCTGTAATCAATATCAGTGGTTTGAAAAACAATGGCGTTACGTTAAATGAAGAAGACTGGTATGAGATATTAAATCAAGAAGGCGTTATAACCAATTTTTTCTTCAGTGATGATATTTTCCATTCGATCAGTGCCAACTCCGTCTGTATCACCTTTGAGAGATTTCCAGATTTTCAAACAATCAAAATTGAAGATCGATGGAGAAACGTCGTTTATTTGGGTAAGGAGACCGTATTGAAGCTATTTCAATTAGCCCCGCTGATTGCCTACACCATTAATATGCTGAAAACTCAGGAGTTTAATAAGTATTTCAACACACTTGTCCAAGATGTGCGAACCACCAACATGGATGTGCGAGACTTCGTGATCCAACACATCTCTGATTTGCCGCATTCGGAGAACATCAGGACTGCTATGGAACTGGCATACCAACATCCAAACTTGAAGGAATTCAACAAGGCTCCAACGTTGAAATTTTATTCAGACTATCCTAACTATTCTGTAAAGTCATTGTAATTAAAAAGAATTTTAAATTACTTATCGTGTTTTATTGAAAAAGCTGTGTTATAAAACTGATTGGTTTAAATAATATACATGTCATGCAAGTAAATCACTTTTTCTAATCCACGAATTATGTCTGTTATCCAGTCCTAAGTACTTGACTAACACTTTATTTTTTTTACGTCGCACCACTTTCTCTACAAGATAGATATTTGGATACTTGACTTTTTGAAGCTCCTCAGCGTAAAATCCACCTAGAATCTCGTCACCGCTCGAATCAGCCAGTAAGTATGATGTGGGATTGGTATACTGTATTTTACGGATTGTGAAAATTTCATTGGACCAGTTAGGAGTGTATCCTTTAGCTGTCCTATGTTTGCTTATGCGGACATGATCTCCACGTTGATATTTTACACCCTTTGGATCTAACGTTTTCAAATGTGTGTATGCCGTTCTCAACAGTGTTTTTGCTGTACTTTTGTTCACGTCTTTGGGTTTCATCCCAATTGTGCTGTGTTTGGTGTTATTATATGCATCAACGATTGATGATAGGAGATCTAACCATTTATACGATCCCTGAAAGCTGAACTGCTTCCACATACGATTCTTCAAAGTGCGATTCACACTTTCAACTACACTTGCTTTGGTCGCTGAGTAGGAGCTGTAATGATTAATTTTGTACGCTTCCATTAACTTCTTAAAGTCACTATTGTAGAATTCTTTACCCAGGTCTGTTTGTAAATTTTTCGGAATTGTCTGCATTTGCGATAAAATTGTACTCATTGCAGCTGTCACATCTTTTCCAGTTTTTCGTTTGACTGGTTCTGCCCACACAAATTTACTAAAAACGTTGATGACAATTAAAATGTAACGGAATCCTTTGTTAACTTTCTGACACGGAAGCATTTCCACCAAATCTGCCTGTAGGAGATCGTTGATACCCTTCACAATAACGCGTCGACGTCTATAATTTCTGCGAGCCGGTTTATGAAGTTCCTCAATGACCTGCTTTTTAAAGTCCATCATTCTTGTATGATTGGACAGCGCATCACGATATTACCTATAAGGTCAGGTTTTGGTTCATGAGATGAATAGAAGTTCAGAATATCCCCTTTCGACAGGTGTGTGTCGACTTTGACATCACTTTGACCACATTTCACTCTTATTTTGGGAGGTATATTTATACTATCAACTATCCCGGTCACAGGAACGATATAGTCCCTACTATTTTCACCAAATGTGTAAAATAATGCGCTGAATGTGTTGGAATAAATGGGTACCACACATACGCTGAATAGTTTAGATGCTAGAAAAGCACTGAAGATTGAAGATATGTCCCTCTTTTTTGAATGGAGCATATGTCTTCCAAATTTATCAATTGGCATCTTGATCGTACAACTGCAGCAACGAAAATAGAGTAATATTACGTTACAACTTCATTTTATAATTTTTAATTCGCGCAACTCCTCAATTATAGACATGATTTCATTATTATGCCCGTTATTACCAGCATACGCAGATACGATGAGCAAGCGCAATCGATTGACCAACTCATTGGGATCATCAAAATACACATACTCAATTGGTTTCGGGGAATACTCTAATATACCACCCCTTACATGTTTGAATGATTGTGATCTGGGTCGAGCTTTAGGAGGTGCCGGTTTCTGAAAAAAACCCCGTTTTGCTTGCACCCTCAGCGGATACTTTTATTAGATTGTGTTTTACTAAATATGGTCGAATTATTGTTTTATACTTGAAAGTGTTTACTCCTTGAATTTGTAAATTAGAATCAAAATTACGTCGATATGCATTGGTCCGTTTTAGCATATCCATGTAGTGCTCCAGATCGGTCTGTTTATATCCACGAGGGTCTTTCTTGAACAACAACTCGTACAGACCTGGCGTTCCTGGATATCTGATATTGTCTAAGATTATATCCGACTCCTCGAGGGTTATTGGGGTATTCCCCAATTTTAATTTTTCGCCGATCCAATCGTGTGTTATACCGTGATATCGATCAAAATTCTCTTCATCCCCCCGTATAGACTCATCGATATATTGACGAGGTAATGGATGGAACTGTTCTAAATAACTTTGATAACCAGGTGTTTTGCTTAGGCGCCGAAACTCTTCCCGTGTGTGAGCAATCATTTGCTCGTCAACATCACGTTCTCGTTCTAGTACTGTAGCATCGGGACGTGATTCTTCTATCCCGGAAACGTCTTGTAAAATAGAGTGCTCGGGAAGGTTAGAGAATGTGTCTTCAAGGAAACTTGTAGTAGTGGGGAGGTATCTATTGTATATATTTGTCGGTGTTAATTTCTGTGAAAGTGGTGATTTCTGAGGTGTTGATGTTTTAGATTCTAATTTCCAGTTCTCTGGTTTTACTTTGACTGGCTCTACTTTTTCAAGTAACTGCTGCAGCGGTTCCGATATAGGTTTCCACTGCTTTTGCAATTTGGTTTCCGATTGGGCAATATCCGACTTTAATGCTCGATACTTTTCTTTGACTGCTTGTCTGGCTTTCACCAATTCCTTTGCAATTTTTGGATCCATATCACGTATTATGGAGAGGCTGGCGTAACACTGGTACTGCCAATCTTACACGCTCTTTATATACCACACTATAGGTATATATACTTGTCGAAACCTTTCCGATACCTCCCATTATTTTTGGGTGAATCTTTATCAACCACAACAAAACCGTATGGTTCCTGCCAGCACAGTGAGCAAATATCTTTAAACTGTTGAAACGACATATCCAAGCTAATGTGATCATCGTAAATATGCTTCAAATTTAATGCATCCTGTGCTAAAAGTATGAGAAGATTTGCATTATCTCTTAATAACTGCTTGGGAATTGCTGTGTATGTTTGACACAGGTAGAAGCAATCTGTATTTTTGTGTCGCCCAAAACTAAAGTACTGACGCATTATATCCTGATTACATGATGCAACATCATCAAAAATCATAATCGCATTTGATTCGATTTCCGCTGGAGGCTTAATATCATCACCGTTCGTGTATTCGTAATATCCTATCTCTTTTAGAGGTTCTAAAACTGAGCGAAGAAATTGATACTTTGTTTGGTAGGGTGATTTACAAAACAAATAGACATTTTCATATCGTAATCCGTGAGGGTGTATTAATAGGGTGATCATGATATTAGTCTTTCCAGCACCACTATTACCAACAATTAGAGCCCGTTTAGAAGCACCATTGAACACACTTCCATGTTTTCGGAACGTTTTTTCTTGCACTATTCCATCGTAATTATCTACCTGAAGCTTTGGTATCGTCTGCTCACTTCTCATGATGTTGTGTGATTACTAGTAGCCATCCAAATGGACTCCTATATATAGTACCTCCCGCTCTATTCGTAATAGGAGTATATAATGATTGTGCACTCCACCATGACACGTACTTTCCAGCAGACACCGATCGTGCGAGGTCGCGGCCTCATTTCCAACGTAATAGAAAATCTCCCTTTCGAAGCCCACATCCCAGGTTACAATTTCTGTGGCCCGTCAACCAAACTGCAAAAACGTCTTCAACGAGGAGATGTTGGTATAAATCCACTTGACGAATTTTGCAAACAACACGACATTTTCTATTCTCAGCAGAAAGATCTCACTGCGCGTCAACAAGCGGACAAACTTTTGGCTGATCAAGCTATACAGCGAGCCTTCGCATCCGACAGCTCTTTTGGAGAACGAATGGCAGCTTTGGGAGTTGCTGGAGCAATGAAAGCTAAAAAAAAGATGGGTTTTGGCCTGCGAAAACATCGTACACAACAAAGAAAGAAACGTTTGAACAAGATGGGAAAGGGTTTGCGAAAAAAATCACCAAAATCGCAAAGTTCCAAGCGACGTTTGCGGATTCTGCCTCTACCGAAAACAGGTGGCTTTCTACCTTTACTTCTACCTATACTCGGGGCTCTTGGAGCTCTTGGAGGTGGTGCTGCCTCCATTGCAAAAGCTGTCAATGATGCTAAAGCCAATCAGTCACAACTTGCGGAACAGAAGCGTCATAACTTGGCTTTAGAAGCCTCTCGCAAGGTTTCTCCCACGGGAAAGGGTTTTTTTTTAGCACCGTACAAAAAAAACTGCTAAGGCACCTACCATCCCATGCGCTTTCCGATATTGAACTACTTTACTTTGCAAAACAACTTAACATTCCTTTTTTTCGAGGAGTATTCATGAAAGATCAATTACCAAAGGGTATACAGACTTGTGAAAGTGGAATTGTTAATTTGGATGACTCGTCTGGCGACGGGACTCATTGGGTTGCATACGTGAAAAATGGCAATCTTGTCTCATACTTTGATTCATATGGGAATCTGCGCCCTCCACTGCAGCTGATAAGATATTTTGGTAGCAGTGATAAAAATGTTCGCATTGTATACAATTATACTCCAATACAAAAGTTTAATGCTCACAATTGTGGACAGCTATGCTTACAATTTCTATATATTTCTTACTGTTACTCCTAATACAGAAGTTGCAATTCAAACGTTCTACAGTAATGACGTCCCTCACATTTACGCTGTCGGGAACTTCTTCCACTCTCCAATCACATTTTAATCCCCCGCTATATCTTGATGATAATGTGGACTATGAAATCGGGTTGTGCAACTTTGAATCCTTCAATGTTATTCCCAATATAGACGAAACTAATAATAAGTTTCCATGTGACAATGAACTACTTACATTTCCTACAGGCGCATATGAAATTCGAGATATTATTGATTATTTAGATCAAAATCTCCCAGAAGGGAAAATTATTAGCATTACACCTCATATGAATTCCACAACAGTTTCTCTCAAAGCCAATTTTACGATTGATTTTTCACAGAATGGTACCATTGCATCCCTTCTCGGATTTAAACCTGGACGTCTTGACCCAATCATTAGACATACGTCTGATTTTCCTGTGCAAATTTTGAAAGTGAATTCAATATGTGTTGCTTGCAATGTAGCCACAGGCTCATATTCCAACGGTGTGCCAAGCCACATCATCCATCAATTTTTTCCCTCGGTTTCGCCCGGGTATAAAATCGTTGAATCACCTCAAAATATTTTATATTTCCCAGTGAGTGTTAAAGCAATCACAACCATTACCGTCAACATTGTTGATCAAGACGGTCACATAATTAATTTTCGTAACGAGACCATTACACTTCGACTTCATTTACGATCCGGTAACAATGGGCATTAGATATTACGCGCCTCCGATCTCTTTTCCCTATAAAAAGCGAGGTCAGTCGAAACCATCTATTAGTGGTAAGCCGTCCCGCATACGCAGAAGATCATTTCGACAACAATCAACATTGCAACTTACTAACGATAATAGAAAATTTTTGGAAAATCTAGGTTTTCACGTGTTGTAGGATGAGTATTCTCAACGTTACACAAAAACCTCTTGTTGATAATTCTATTACAGAACTAGAGTATCACACTTATCAACCTTTTATCAATTCCAACTTTGACTACAACGATGAAATTCGCATTGCTGTTCAAGAACTAGATGCCTATACCCTCCCGTCACAAAGTCTTTTGTATCTCGAAGGAGAATTAACCAAAGCCGATGGAACTGCTGTTACGACTAAAAACGCTGATGGAACTACTGTTAAAACTCTGCAATTAATCAATAACGCTTTTGCTTTTCTGTTCCGTGAGCTCCGTTATGAACTGAACGGAGTTGTAGTCGATTCCGTTCGAAATGTTGGTCTTACCTCCACCCTTAAAGGGTATCTGTCTTTTAATGAAAATGAGAGTTCACGCTTGCAAAATGCTGGCTGGTTCCCAAAAGACACTTTTATTTCTGAGTCTGGCAAGTTCAATGTTTGTATTCCTTTAAGCATGTGGATGGGATTCTTTGAAGACTATCGAAAAATTCTCCTCAATATGAAACAGGAGTTAGTATTAATCCGTAGTAGTCATGACCTTGATGCTGTTGTAGCAACTACTACATCCGAAAAACCAAAAATTCGGATTGATAAGATTCAGTGGAGAGTACCCCACGTATCTGTTGACATTCCTCAGCAACTAGCTCTTACAAAAATTCTCAACAAAAACATGGAAATTCCACTATATTTCGCAGTTGGGAACTAGTAGAGTATCCATCACTCCCTGAAACAACGCGTCACACCTGGCCAGTCAAAACTACAACGAAGCTCGAGACCCCTAGACATGTTATCCTAGCCTTTCAAACTAATAAAAAACAAGTATCTACCTCCAATATGTCACAATTTGATCATTGCAAGTTGACCAATATTCGGGTTTTCCTCAACTCCGACCGCTTCCCATATAATGATCTCTTTTTGGATTTTAAAAACCAAAAATTTGCTCTCTTGTATGAAATGTACTCAAAATTCCGCTCCTCCTATTATGAGAGTGAAAATGAACCTCTGTTTTCCCCAAAAGATTTCCTTTCTATTGCCCCTATCACACATATTGATTGCTCTAAACAGAAGGAAAGTATCCAATCTGGATCGGTGGTTATGCGAATTGAATTTGAGACAAGTGAAAATGTTCCTCCGGAAACATCTGCTTACTGTCTCATCCTACACGATCGCGTTTTCACCTACAACCCTTTAACCAAAATTGTTAAACAGCGATAGAGCTTAATCAATCACGATCAATCACAATATAAATTATCTTTGTTCAGACTAAATCTCCTTCATTCTCATTATGACATCATCCTACAGACAAGCTCTCAGAGAGTATTATCAGAAATTGCAAAGTTTGAAAGAAGCACTCAATTCCTATTGTCAAAGACGCATTCTATATACAAAATTCTCCAACTTACAAATATGAGTGTCGTTTTGGATGTTCAAGGATTTAAAATTGAAAATAATAAATTTCTCGCAAAAGAATTTTGCGCCTATGATGGTGTTAGGTTATGTCATTATATTTTCAAAGCTCCTTTTCCTTGAGATCTGCTGCCACCACCGTTGAAGATTCAGGCGAAGTGGTTGACTGATAATTACCATGGTATCTCCTGGAATTCAGGGTTTACACCCCTACATAAGTTTGGAAACATTATTAAACACATTGCGGATGGGGCAGACAGAATTTATGTGAAAGGACGTGAAAAAGCAGCCTACCTGAGAAACTTCACCAGCAAACCAATAATCGAGCTTGAAGAGCAGCCCCGCCTCACCCCTTCACCGGCGAAGTGTTTTTACCATACAACAGATATTTGCATGTGTGCGATTGTCTAACGTTGGTATTTGTATGAAAATTTCATCATGTCATAATTTTTGTCAATAAACATATGTTTTCTTCATTTAATGTATTTTTTACCCCTTCCTCCCACATAACACTACACAATATTCCTATCTTACAATCTTTATTATTTATAAATACATCAAAGCGTTGCTTCTTCCCCTCTATTTTTTACATTACATTACATACTCGCAATTTTACTAAACCTACTTTCTTACTACTTTTATACATATCACAGACATACCTCCACTTTAATAATTTACACTTTAAACCTTTCTGTAAACACTGTTTGCCTATAATCTTACTGTCAAGTATTTTTTTAACACTTCTTCGACTAGTTGCACTCGCCTTTGAAGACTACATCTATCTGCCATCTCCCGTTACTTCTTCGAGCTTCTCTATATGCAGTATTGCCATGCATACATGATATGTACTTTGTTTTTTGTTCGTTGAAGGATACGGTCTTTGGAATAATACTTATATGTTCACCTTCATTGCACATGTTACTTTTGCTGGTGCACTTTTTAGTCACCCCACTACTTTTCCTTCTACCAACATTGTCTCCACTCTCTTAAACCTTGCTTCCGTTTGCCAACAATACCTCCACCCTCTGAAACCCTGCTTCCTTCACTGCTGCACCTGTCGCAATCTCCTTCTCTCCTGTATAATCCATCTTAGTCTCGCACCACGACCCATGCCTGGAGGTATACTTCTCTGCATGGGCACCTGAATCAACTGATCCGAATTAGAACCTGCTTCATCATCCAATTCTCTTCCACTGCCACTTCCGGCGACGGATTCCTGACTCCATATCGGCTAACCGGTGTGGTGTCCATGGGTGTTCGGGACCCAGATGGAGGATGCTGCGGTGTGGTGTTCATAGGTGTTCTGGACTCAGATGGTTGATGCGGCGGTTGTGGTGCCCATATGCGTTCTGGGCCATGGGTCGTCCCAATTTTCTTCTTCAGGATGTATTCTGTTGAATGGGCGTATAACCGCCACCGGCTTCCCCTCCCCACACCGTCGGCAACTTAAATGTTGTCTTGCACTCATTGTTTGATTCGTGCTGTCTGCTAACAAACTGCCTCCTCTCCGAGCGCTGCACTAATTAAACACATATTTCCAAGGTCATACCGTCTACCACTCACGACTTCAAGGTCACATTTCAAGGTTATATTTCAAGGCCATATTTCGATTCAAGGTCACATTTCAAGGCTATATTTCAAGGTTGCATTTCAAGGTCATATTTCAAGGCCATGTTTCAAGGTACATTTCAAGGTCACATTTCGAGGTTAAATATGCGTTCAAGGTTGGCTCCCAAGGTCGACTCTCAAGGGCGTTCTAGAACATACAAACCCTACCTACTTAGGTATGATATTGACTGAAATAGCTAGATTGAA